GGTGGGCACCATGCTGCTGGCACCACAGCCACGCTGCCAGCACTCCCGGCCATGGCTCGGTGCCACGCTGATGGCTCCAGATCAGCAGGGAGGAGAGCAAAGGAGCCAGGTCAGCTCCTGGGGAAGAGCCAGGAGCGGCTCCAGGAGCAGGGCGAGACGCGGGGATCGATCCCAGACGGAGCAGGGAGGGCACGCCCCGTGGGCTCCCCGCTCAGAGCACGGCTGAACCAGCAGGCACAAGCCACCAGGGGCCATTTCCAGCGGGAGGCTCCAGGGAGATCTCCACAGCTCCCAGGCAAGCGCCAGGTTGTGATGGGCTGGTGTTAGAATCCAGGAAAGCATCTCCCATCCCTGGGGAGCTCCCAGCAATGCTCACCCCCCTCCCCCTGTCAGCCTGGGCTCGGTCCCCCAGGACTGGATCCTGTGGGAGCAGTGCTGGTGCTGCTTGTCCAGCCCAGGGGCAGGGCAGAGCTCTGTGTCCCCAGGGCCTGCCAGCCTTGTGGCGTTTGGGGTGGCAAAGGGAAGGGAGGAAACACAGTGATGGGATCAGCAAGGACACAGCACCACAGCAGCCCAGGGGATTTTGTTGCGGCACAAAGCCCCACCAAGGCCAGGACACAGGACTGAGTTCCATGAAAAAACCATGTGCAGATGGACAAATGTCACTGGGAGAGCTGGGGCACGGCTGGGGTGGTAGCACAGCCCCTGAACACCACAGAGGGATCATCTGTCCCTGCCCAGCCCCTCTGAACTGCATCCCTGTGTGAGTCCAAGTGTTCTGTCAGCACAGCAGCACACGTTTTCAGGGCTGCACAGAGGAGCTGCTCCACCAGTGCACCCTGGAGAAGGTTTTCCAGGTCTTCCTCCCCTGGAAAAACCAGATGCAAAGCACCCTGGTTCCTGAACTGCTGTTGGTGGTCACCATCCCTTCCAAGGGTCCCCCATGGCCAGGCCCACACCACTCCACCAGGAGGTCTCTGCTGGGCTCTCCCGTGGCACAGAGCAGAGGCTGAGCTGGCACAGCCCCACACAGCGCCAGGCACTGGTGCCACCATGCTGCATGGGCAGAGTGGGCATCCAGGCACTAACCCAGCTCTGCCAGGCCTCAGCTCCTGGAGGAAACCCTGGGACTCCCCTGGGAACAGAGCATGACAGCAACAGAGCCCGCAGGGAGCTTGTAAATCCACACATGGCTCTGAAATTTGGGGTTGTTTTCTTCCTTGAATCCTCCTTGTGCTCGAGGCTGGTGGGAGCTGTGGTGCCACTTGGGGTTCCCCAGAACCAGCAGCCCTCAGTCCCAGCATGTCCCCAGGAACACCCTGTGTCCTGCAGGAGAAGGTAGGAGGCATCTCCCTGGGACAATGCTGAGCAGTCTGGGGGCTGATCCCACCTCTGGGGTGTTTTGGTGGAATTGCTGTGGTGTGAGGCACCACATGAGGCTCACAGGAGTCAGGGATGCCTCATCCCATGCCAGCACTGCCAGAATGAATGTCAGATGCCAGATCATCTCTGCTGAGCCCAAAGCAGCCTGGCACACAGGCATGTCACACTCTCTGCTGCTCACAGACACCCCAATGCCCATGGCCTGGCCCCAGAGCAGCTCCCCGGGTCCCTGGCAGCAGGACAGACCCCCCAGGCCACCTCCAGCTCAGCCCAGACTCAGGGCTTGGACTACCCCATCACATCCCACAGCCCCCACCTACACCTCATGCCACAAGCACCCACTTTGATACCCATCTCCCCACATCCCCAGGAATGCACGAGCCCAGAGTCCACGTCTGCTGCACCCTGAAGGGCTGGGGAGCATGAAACACCCCAGATTAATTAAACACATCAGCTTTCCTTAAGATGCACAAGGAGAAGGACACCCTGTCAGTGCCACAAGTACCTTCCAGGCCAGTGGGGCCACAGCCAGTGGGGATGGGTTTGGTGCAACAGTCAGACAAATTCCTGTGTGGGAGAGTGGGATGTGGCTCCAGACAGCAGGAATTTGGCACAGCCCAGCACTGCCAGAGCTGGCTGCAGTCACCCCTCCCAAAGCACCAGCAGCAGCAGAACCGCCCTGGGGGAACAGGGAGCTCTGCCAGACTCTGCTGACCAGCAGCTAAATTCAGAGACAACACAATTCCTACTCCAAACACCAGATCTGATGAAACATCACAACTTCCAGCAGGCAGGAAGCAACGGAGCAGGTGGTCCCACTGGGATGTGGCAGCCCCCAAACTCAGCAGGAGACACCAGGATCCCACAGCCCAGGGCTGATAGGAATGGGCCAGCACCATCCCCAGCAGCAGCAGGATCACACCAGAGTGGGGCATTCAGGTTCCAGACGCACGCTGCCTAATTTACGGTTTAATTAATAAATGGGGAATTATGCCAAGTTTATCCAATACTTTTGGACGCGTGATGTTATCAAAATCCCATTACTGATGAAGGAAGGCATGAAGAGCAAAATTAGCTTTGGCATCTGAAACAGTTCAGTCAATGCGATAACACAATTATTAGGGCTAATAATCAAAGAGCGCTTTGGGGAGCGCAGGCTCAGGCAGGAGCTGAGCTGAGGGCAGGAGCCGGGTGCTCACCCAGGAGGGAAAGGCCGAGCACAGCCAAGGGCAAAAGCTTTTTGCTGATTGCACTTCCCAGCAGCTCCAGATAACTGGCACGGGGAAGGTGCTGGTGGCCACCAGGCTGAGGAGGAGCACGGCCGGGCACAGTGCCGAGCTGCACTGCCGGGAGTAGGGAATTAAAAAACCCAGGATTTTAAACCAGTGGGCACTGGGTCCCATCTGTACACTGGGCATTGATCCTGCTGGAGGACATCAGGGCTGCCAGCTCGCAGCTCTCTGCGCAGCCCGGGGAAGGAGAAATTCCAGTCGTAATGAGGAGCCGCAGTCATCCGGCTCCCAGAGCTGGGACTTTGCCAAAACCATGGTGAACTGGAGGAAGGGCCTGCGGGGGAGTGGGAGTCCCAGCTCACTTCAGTGGCCTCGAGCTCCAGCCCAGTGACCATCCCTGGGGCTTATGGAGCAGGAGGCAGCTCCCATGGGAGCAGTCAGCAGCAATCCCACAGTGGCTGTGTTTGGAAATCCCCCTGCCATGGATATATAATATATATCTATGTACATGTACATACAGGGTCTGTATGACTGGATCTGTGTGTCCTCCCTCCTCTGGGCCCTGGGTGCAGAGGCAGCACACAGTGCCACGGGTGCTGCTCAGCGCCGCTGCCACCCGGGCTCAGGCAGCCAGGGACGCGTCCTCGCCCTGCAGAATCGGGGGCACCAGGGCTCCAGGCTGGCTCCCGGCAAGCAGGGCAGGGGTGCTCACCAGGGGAGGCCGGGCAAGGTGCCAGGGGATCGGGCAAGGTCAGACCCATTCCTGCACTACACCCATAAGCAAGGAGGAGACATGGCATCACCCCGAGAGGCGCTCGGGTTTGGGGGCGCGGGGGTGCCGGGCTGGGCTGTGCTGGGCTGTGCAGCACAGATGACTCCCGCTGCCACTGCTGGCCTCAATGACCTTGGGTGTATCACCGCCCCCTTGATGTCTCACTCCACCTGCACACAGACCACCGCGAGCCGCACTTTCTCCCACGCAAACCCTGCGGCCAAAAGCACCGCACGCAGCGCAGCGAGGCCGAAGAGCGCCGGGGATGCCCCGGGGGTGCCCAGGGGTCCGGCAGCTCCGGCAGCGTGCGGCCGAGGCTCTGTGCTAGCGAGCAATAATGCAGCAGGCTGGAGACTCCTGCCGGTGGCTGCGCTGCCGCTCGGTGCGTGCAGGAGTAACCCCGCTGCAGCAGCAGCTCCCGTACCAGCCTGCGCTCAGGACTGAAGTTTTGCTGCAGCAGAGGAGCAGGCGGGGAGTCCAGCAGCGCCCTGCAGCTCCACAGCGCAGGAGGCTGTGCTGTCGGACGCTCTGCAGTGGGTGACACCCGCAGCACTCCGGCCGCTCGCTCTCGAGTACAGAAGAGCGCTGCGCCAAGGAGCGCCCGTGCGGAGAGAAACACAGAGGCGCTGATACAGTTGGAGACCACAAAGCAATGGGTGACACAGACTTGTGTCCCCCCCCTCTCTGTGCCACAGTCACCTTGCAACGCTGCCTGTCCCCTGCGCAATTTGCAGAGCTCCTTTGGGATCACTCTTTAAAACTAGGCTGAGGTGAGCAGCGATGTGCTGAGCACAGCAAGGGCTGCGGCACCCCAGTGTGACATCCCGAACCCCTCCTGTGCACGGCTGCACCCTGAGGGCACCCAGCCAGCCTGGGAGTGCTGGAGGATCCCGGAGATGGTGCAGCCACGGCGGGGGAACCCAGACGGAGGGTCTGTCTGGAGCTGGCTCCGGGCCAGGCCGCTACAAAGAAGCCGTCAGCGCAGCGGGGCTTGTAGCTGCCCACGCTGGGGCCACGCCGCTCCCGGGTTCCCAGCACCAGGGTGGGTTCCCCGCAATGCTGCGGGAACAGCCCCGCGCCCCCGCCACTCCAGCACCCCAAGGGCACCCATGGTGGGGCACCGCAGGGATGAGGAGCTGGGGCATCCCGCAGCGCCCAGAGGGCACCTCTGACCCGGCGGCACCGCGCGGCATCCTCGGGGCAGCCTCGCATTCCCAGGGGGTCTCACGCTTTCGGGAGGGTCCCCACCCCCCTGGGCGCTCCCCGCCAGCTCCGCAGCCTCCTGCACCACTCGCCGCCCCCTCCCCATCCCTCCACGCTCCGTCCCCAGCCGCCTTCTGGGCGCAGCCCCGCACGGGCAGCTCTGGGACCCGTGTCCCGGCATGGGTTCCCGGGAAAAGCGCAGGTCCCTGCCCTGCTCCCGGCACCGGGAGAAGCGAGCTGCACTACCCGGTGCCCACGGCGAGTACTCCATCCCACCCCACGGGGGACGATCGCACCTCGGGTGGCGGCGCCGGGACGGGCTCGGCGAGAGCTCGGGCAGCCCCGTCCCGCACGGTACGCGCCGCTGCGGCACCGGGGAAACTTCGGCGGGAGTGCGGGCGGGCACTTACCGGCCGGGGCGGGAGCGGTGCGGTCGGTGCTGTCGGTGCGGTCCGGTCCGGGCTAGCAGCGCTCGGCGGGGGCGGGCGGGAGGGGAGCGGTCGGCGCGGTCGGTGCGGGGCGGGCGGCGGGACCTGCGCGGCGCTGCGGCAGCCCCGGCCCCTCCGGGCTCGCGTGCGGTGGCTCCGCGAGGCTCCTCCCGCCACCGGGAGGCCCCGCCCGCGGCCTCGCCCGCACCTCGGCGCGCCCGGCCCCCCCGGCGCGCACCGGGGCTCGAGCGGCAGCGGCACCGCCCGCGGGCGTGCGGGCACCGGCACCGGGCACCGCATGGTGCCGCCTCATACCAGGCACCGGGCACCCCATCGGGCCACCTCACACCGGGCACCGGGCAGCGGGAAACCCCCACCGGCACCGGGCACCCCATCGGGCCGCCTCATTCCTGGCACCGGGCACCCCATGGGGCTACCTCACCCTGGGCACCGGGAAACCCCCACTGGGGTCTCCTCAGACGGGGCTCTTCACATCAGCACCGAGCACGGGCACGGGGCACAGGCACCCCGCGTTGGGGTCACCTCACACACTGCCAGCGCTGGCACCTGGCACTGACACCAGGGACTGACAGCAGGCACCTCATACTGGGCACTGATACTGGGCACCAGCACCAAACACTTCACGGCCATCACCTTGCACTGGTCACGCACGCTGGTCCCTCCTCATCAGTGACCTTGCCCAGATCGCCACCCGCCAGTCACCGACCACTGCCACCACTGCCACCACTGCCACCACTGCCACCACTGCCACCGCCACACGGACCTGCCACGTCCTGCTGCGGCCACAGGACAGAGGAGCTGGGGGCAGCTGTGGTGGTGGCATCTCCATCGTGCCTCCCCCCACATCCAGAGGGCTCCTGGGAACCCAGGTTTGGTTTTAGAACCAAAACGTGAGGAAAAAGCTGATGGGATACAAGCGAGGAGCCCGGGTGAGGAGCAGAGAGCAGTGTGGGGACAGTTTTGCCCCTGCTGTGCTGTGGGATCCCCTTCCCATCAACGGAGTCTCCAATGGGAAAAGGGAGCCCTTGGACACTCCTTACTCCCCATACATGAGGCAGGGACAGGGGCCCTGTGGGTTCACGCCAAACCACTCCAGCTGAGGATCTGTCACCTCCATTCCAGCAGCCCCAGTCCCAGTGCCGCAGCCAGAGCATCTGAACTACACAGGGAGGCGCCGGCTGCTCCAGCCGCTCCAGATAGAGACACTCTGGAGAGCTGGTGCCTGGAGCAGGGGGAGCATCCCGGGGTCCCTGCCCAGCTGGGAGCTGCATCACCCAAACCCTCTGCACACCCCAGTTTTGCTGCAGCAAACCCCTCTCCCAGCCCTGCACCAGCCCCCGACAACACCACAGAGCCAGGCAGGAGCTCCCAGCGGATAGCGGGGCAGGGGAGGGGCCCTGCATGGGCCATATCCCCACTGCAGCACCCAGGGGTGCTGGTTACCCGAACCGAACCTTGCCCATCACTCTTGAAAAGGGCGCTGAGTGTTCCCAAACGCTGAAATGGAAGCGTCAGCATCAGCTCCGTGTGGTCCCTCCGCATGCCCCCCACCCTCCATGGCTCGGACCGATTGCTCTGGCTCTGTGCCGTGGCAAATCCCGCAGTCACGATGTGTGGGACCCTTCTGCCGCTCCCCTGCCTCCTGTCCCGCCTGCTCTGCTGCCTGTACAGGGCTCGGAGCCAGCACAGGTCGGGGTGCACGCACTGGGCACATCTCTGCGGACGAGGGGCCGGGCGTCACCCAAACTGGTCCCACTCTGTCCGGGACCGCACCCAACGTAAGGAACTCGTGTGAACTCGCCCTGCGGGAGGAGCAGGAGCCGATGGGAAGAGCCCTCTCCTGGCTCTGGATCCGCCACTGCAGCCTCTTACAGCTCATCGCCATCCCGTCATTAATTAGCGGCTCCTGAAGCATCTGTCCCTGCTCCAGCATCGCTCTCCGGAGGGGAGAAAACAGATTTGGAGGCGCCGCGGGAAGAGCGGGCTCTCCCTGCCTGCTCCAGCCTCCAGCCGTGCTCTGCTGCAGGCAGAGAAACTGGATTTGCACAAGGGACACCGTCCCAGCTCTGTCCCCCTGCGCTGATGTGGCATCTGCCACCATCGTGTCCTTTCAAATGGGAGATCAGATCAGACCTGGGGAGGCAAAAGGGGCCCTGGGAATGCCCACCCACCCCGAGCCCTCCTCCCCCTGCTCACCTCGGCAGGACCTGTCTCTCCTGTACCAGGAAAGGGACCTGCTGCTTTCCATGTCCTGAACTGCCAAGATTCCAAATCAGGAGCATTTCTGCCCACCCCAGACTTTACAGGAGTGTGACCTCAGGAGAGAGGTTCCCCAATCCCTAAAACTGCTCCCAGCATCCTGAAAACAGCCAAGATTTCAACCCAGGAGCGTTTCTACTCAGCCTCCCTTCATGTTTTGCAGGCAGGCAACTACCAAGGACAGGGGGAGATGCTTTGAGGGCTTGAGCCCCTCTGCTCTGGAGACAGGCTGGGAGAGGTGGGGGACACTCAGCCTGGAGAGAAGGCCCTGGGGAGAACTTAGAGCCCCTTCCAGTCCCTCTCCCTTCCAAGAGAGCTGGAGAGGGACTTTGGACAAGGGCCTGGAGGGACAGGACAAGGGGGAACGGCTTCAAACTGCCAAAGGGCAGGGTTAGATGGGTTATTGGGAAGGAATTCTTGGCTGTGAGGGAAGTGAGGCCCTGGCTCAGGCTGCCCAGAGAAGCTGTGGTCACCCCTTCCTTGGAAATGCTCAAGGCCAGGAACTTGGAGCATCCTGGGATCGTGCAAGGTGTCCCTTCCACTGAGATGAGGTTTAAGGTCCCTCCCCAAACCATCACAATTCTGTGATGTGTACAACTGCCCTCCCCTCTGCCACACAGGGCCAGAGCCACAGACACAGGACCAGGAGCCGACAGTACAGGAGATCACTTTATTGAATCCAATGGTGTTAGACAGACGACTGAGAAGAGACATGCCAGTTGGTGCGGGCAGTGTGGGCAGCAGGAGCTGACTTGGTGCAGGGCTGGATTTGTTTCTGTCTTTTCAGAATATCCTCAAGCCTTTTCCTGGCTTCCTTTTATGTTTCCTTTAAAATTTCTTTGAAGTAAAAACAACTAATCGTGGAAAGAGTCCAGATGGTGTTTGTTTGTTCCCTATGATTGTTCCCGCAGCTATATACAACGTGGGGCTGGGTCTCAACATCAGGTATAAAATGGAGCGAGTTTACAAACGTGGAGGGTGCAAGGAAAAAGCAAAAACAGACAGGCGTGAGTAGAAATCTGGACCAAAATCTTAAAGAGAAATTTAAAAAGTGCTATAAAACCCCTCGGCAGGAATACCATGCAGTTAAGAAACACAAAACCCAGTCAATTACACAGATAATCTAGAACAGGAATTTGTCCATTTCATCTTTTATTTAATTAAAAAAAGGTTGTTTGTGTTTATTAGAAAAAAGCTAAAATTGTAAGGTTCAGGCCACCAGGCAGCAGCAGCTCGAGGGGGCAGGAGGGTGAGGCACTGGCATCACCCACCTCCAGCCCCTCAGGGGGACTCCCAGGGACCATGGGCACCTTTGGGGGCAACTTGCCCTCTGGAGGTGGCAGATATCACCTTGTGGGGTGATGGGCACCTTTGGGGACAGCAGGCACCTTTGGGAGTGGTGGGCACCCTTGGAGGTGGCAGGAGGATGAGTTAAAGCAATCCTTAGATCCCTTCCCTGGGGACAGAGGGGCTCAGCCCACAGCCAGGGGTTGGCCCAGACAGCTGCCAGCCTTGGGGACAGGAGGTGCTTGGTGTAAGCCAGGAGGAATGCACCAGGACCTGGCTCCTCCTGCCAGGTAACCCCAGCCAAGCCCCCCACCAGCTGATCCCAGGGGCTGCTGGCATGGCCCTTCCCCCTCCCTGGAGATTCCTCCTGGATCACACCCCACAGGCTGCTCACCTCCAGCTGCTGGGGCCGAGGGGATGGCACAAGGGGCAGCCCCAGCCTGGGGAGGGACGGGGCAAACCTGCAGGACACAGGCCAGGGCAGGCTCAGCAGTGGGGGATGGCACAGTTTGGTCCAGGTTTGGGTGGCTCCCTGGAGGAGTCACAAAAGAAAGCTCAGCAAGGCTGCCCCTCCTCCCACAGGACTCCTCAGGGCACCTGGGCACAGGGCAGCCCCCAAAGGTGCATCAGTCCCTTCCCTGCCTGGGCACCAGAGTCCCAAGGAGGGTGTGAGGGGCTGGAGGGAACGGCTGTGTCCCCATTGCAGACCTCGAGCGGCTGCTGGGCCGGAGTCTCATACAATCAGAAAAGAAGTCAGCACAGCACAGTCATCACAGAGTACAAAAAAAAACCCAAAACCAGGGACAAGGCGCAGGGCCGGCCCCCCCAACCCACACAGGGCGTTCCACGACGGATCTATGTACAGCGAGTCCTCGACAGAAGAGAAGGCGAACAGAAAGCCCTAACGCCCAAGCCAGCGTGGGGAGGAGATCGCGGAGATCCCCGCGGGGAGGGGCCGGGCTGGCGGCCCGGAGGCAGCAGGAGGCTGTCGGACAGACGGACAGCGGGAGGAGTGAGCACCATGGGGCGGCGAGGCGGGACGCACCGGCCGGAGCACCGAGGGCAGAGGGGCCGGCGGCCTCCGGGGGCACTGCGGGAAATGCCCGTTCCAAGGGGTCTGAGGGGTCCCTGGAGGCCACACCAGCTGCAGCACAGGGGGCTGAGGCTGCCCAGGCCCCAGCCTGGCAGAGTTTGGGGACAGGGTGGGCTCAGGTGATCTGGCCCTGGGGTCAGCTCTCCTCATGGGTCTCTCCAGGGCCCCAGAAGGATGTGGGGGCTGAGCTGGAGGGCAGCAGGGAGGAGGGGCCCCCAGAGCCCAAGTGGGCACAGGATGGGAGTGCAGACCTGCAGGGCACCCCACAGCCATGGCTGGGGACAGGCCAGCGAGGGTGCTGCAGGCAGCAGTCCCCTTCATTCCATCC